CCTGTCCGCCCGCGACCGCTACAAGGAGCAGAATGACCAGATACCTGTGGGCCAGCGGCCCGTGCGTTTCTCCGCCGCAGAACTGCTACGACGGCAGGAGGACGCGCCAACCAGCAGCGACGAGTTCTCAGATAGCGTCGAGGACGGCACTGTCTTCTTGAACGAAGACGTCTGGAAGGCAGAATAATATGACCTGGCCAGCTACGATTCTGGGGCGTCCCCGAACACCGAGCCCGAGCACTGCCGCAACTACGCAGCGAGGGGCAAACCGGGCAAGGATGAAACCGCAAGGACAAGAACGTCAAGGGCAAACTGGCCTCTCCGACCCGAGGTGCGCGCAAAACAGCTCCGACCCACTGGGCTATCAGACCGATGATTCTGCGTGAGAAATAAAAGGCGATGCCGGCCAGCCTGAAGCCAGACGATGACATGAACCTGGGAGGGCCGCTACATGCTGCCACCCTGGGACCGCTTGGCCTCCAAGCTGGGCGCTTCTTTTTCCCAACCCTCCTTGGTTGGGTATTCGTTTTGAATAGAGCAGTGTGGTCTCCACTTCCTCCTTTCCTCCCTCCTGCCTCCCGTCCCGCCTCCCTCTTGCCTCCTCCTGTCTTGCCTGCGGGGGGCTGCGATCTGTGAAACTGTCGCCACTTTCGAGGCCTGCTGGGGGGCCCAGCACAGTGACGCCACGGGCAGACTCAAATTAGACCTCGCCATCCCTGGGGGGCTGCGATCTGTGAAACTGTCGCCACTTTCGAGGCCTGCTGGGGGGCCCAGCACAGTGACGCCACGGGCAGACTCAAATTAGACCTCGCCATCCCTGGGGGGCTGCGATCTGTGAAACTGTCGCCACTTTCGAGGCCTGCTGGGGGGCCCAGCACAGTGACGCCACGCGCAGACTCAAATTAGACCTCGCCATCCCTGGGGGGCTGCGATCTGTGAAACTGTCGCCACTTTCGAGGCCTGCTGGGGGGCCCAGCACAGTGACGCCACGGGCGGACTCAAATTAGACCTCGCCATCCCTGGGGGGCTGCGATCTGTGAAACTGTCGCCACTTTCGAGGCCTGCTGGGGGGCCCAGCACAGTGACGCCACGGGCGGACTCAAATTAGACCTCGCCATCCCTGGGGGGCTGCGATCTGTGAAACTGTCGCCACTTTCGAGGCCTGCTGGGGGGCCCAGCACAGTGACGCCACGGCAGACCCAAATTAGACCTCGCCATCCCTGGGGGGCTGCGATCTGTGAAACTGTCGCCACTTTCGAGGCCTGCTGGGGGGCCCAGCACAGTGACGCCACCGCGGACCCAAATTAGACCTCGCCATCCCTGGGGGGCTGCGATCTGTGAAACTGTCGCCACTTTCGAGGCCTGCTGGGGGGCCCAGCACAGTGACGCCACGGGCGGACCCAAATTAGACCTCGCCATCCCTGGGGGGCTGCGATCTGTGAAACTGTCGCCACTTTCGAGGCCTGCTG